TGTTCACATCATCACACACTTGCATATTTTGTGAATTGAACATGCCATAGGGGATTCCAAGTAGACTTTCAGCCTTGAGTGCATAATATGAAATTTTTGCACTTTCTCGAGTCATTTTGGTTGACCAAATTGCCATTTCGGTCGACGGAAGCCTTTTGGTTTTTGATTGAACTTCAAAACATGCATTTCCAGTAGCCATTTTCATTGTTCAGGGCCATTTTGGTCGACCGATGGCTTATTTCGGTCGATCGATGGTTCATTGCTGTCTACCGATACTACCAAGCCTTGAAAACATGATTTCAGCACAAAATTAAGTCATTTCGGTCTTCCAATGGGTTATTTCGGTTGACCAAAATAGCCTGATCCCGAGAGTAGGCTCAGTTCAGTTTTAACACTGTTGCTCTGACTTTGAATGGCCATAACTTCTTCGTTTCTAACCCAAATGGGGTGATTCTTGAGCCTAAATTCATGAGCTTGAAGTCAGCTTTCCAATGACACTAACTATGAATTCAAAATCCAATTGTGGTGAGAATTATTCATATTTCGTGGGATTCTTGTCCAAAGTTCTTAAAACCTTTTGGAATTGTCATTCTTCCGGTCCTTGCTTCTGCACCATGTTTCTTTGAGTTCGTGACCTCATGGTCACGGAGGGTCATCCTAGGGTCTTAGAGGTGTTTTGTGCCTTGGAAGACCATCGTTTTGTTTCTTGCTTCCGCATCTGGATCCGTTATCGGGTCAATCTTCGATTCATTACTATAGTACCGGGTTGAAAATAAACCCAGGTTGTTACAGATTTTATCCATTTTTTGGTTGTTTTGGAGGATTTTCCCTCTACTTGTAATTGTACTAATTTTGATCTATGAAAATAAAAATAAAAATACAACATTCAGGAAAAAAAAAAAAAAAAAAGTATATGACCCCCCAACGGCCAAAAACGGCTAAACTGAACTAGAAATGGAAAATTTGAAAACCAAAATTAACAAATGATCTTAAATTACCGTTTGGCCCTTGGCCACACTTCATACATGATTAATGAGACCTTATAAAAAAATAAAAATGGAATTCCCACACCCGATGCAAACATGGTTGAGCAATGACTTGGCATTTTTCAATATTTTCATAATAAACTTTGAAAGTGAAAATGCATAGAAAACAAATTTGATGTCATTGGCCTATGGCCTCATCTCATACATGTCTAATACATTGTAAAGAGCGTACTTATATACACATTACATGTTTATAATCAATTATACACATTTCGACATATAAAGGCTACAAGTGGCTTTTTAAGCCAACCTTCACAAGAATTGAAATTTCTGAGTGTACAAATCATCGAAGGAATGATGTGCATCACAAACCAAGCCTTCGCACCTTAAACAAATCCCTAGTAACTTCGGGGTGAGTAACATAAAGCTACTAGTAGGAGATGAGCATGCATAGACCTAACATTTTACAAATTTATCACCTTAGGGTGAAATATGTTAAAGGGGCTCATGCCACCTAACGTCTATGTCAAAGTGAGACTCAGGGAGCATCCTAAGCTACCTTAGAATATTTCCAGCATAAACCACATCATCTATGCGATTTAGGCAACATAGAAGCATGCGATACACATAACACGATATTCAATATACAAGTATACGTACACAAGTATACAATCAATAATGAAATACATTTAAGACAAGTATACAAGACACAAGTATACTAGATAATCTAGAAAGTAAACCATGAATATGCAAGTGTACATACTAAGTGCACTAAGCAATATTGAAATAGAATACAACATATATATTCAAGTATACATTTCTAAGTATACTAAGAATTGTTGACATATATAGCATACAAGTGTACAAATCCAAGTATACAAAGTATTTTTGATATATACAAGGCAAACAAGTATACAAACACAAGTATACTAACTAAGAAATGAAGCACCATATGTCCAAGCACAAGTTAAAAGTAATCCACAATTACAACTAAGAATTGAATGCGAAATCAACTAATGGTGGAAAGACAAAGGACATATGGTCTCAATGACCAAACAACTAATCTCGGGTTACTAGCCCGCAAGGAACTACCTAGTGCGCACTATATGTTGTAGAGGGAACTCTCATCCCCCGTACTAGAGAAATGCTTTAGCCTTAATATATTACAATGTCCATGAAAGCTTTCCAAAAATCATCAAGTTGTGCAATAAGTATATCACATATACACAATGCACATTGTCAATTACCATGCCCAACCAAGTCATGGAATACACACAAGATATGCTCTAGGCTTTCAAGCTACAATGACATATTAAATGTCATATAAGCATAATGTGTATACAACAAGTTAAATCATAACTTTTACTCATGGAATACCATCTTGTAATCATACACCAAGTTGCAGATTCTAAGTTAAGCAAGAATATAACATCAATACTTAATTACCTCAATGAAAGCATACAAATGGAACTTAATTAAATTAAATAATTAAATTCTTTAGATTGCAAAGCAACTCCAAAAATTCTAAATATATTATATGTCAAAGGCCATAGCAAAGCCTAATTTAATTTCAAGTTACAAGCCAATTCTACCTTACTTACAACAAGGTAAATTAAGCTCAATGCCAAGAAAATAATTAAATAAATTTATCAAAACTCATTCAAATATTCTCTATTTAATATATATGAAAGAACATATCGAGACATTGTTTAAAATCAAGTTACAAATTAATACTACACTAGGTATAACTAGGTGAATTAAATTTCATACAAGAAAATAATTAAATAAAGTTTTCCAAACTCATTCAAATATTCTCTATTTAATATATGTTAAAGAACATACCATACTCATTACATATATCAAGTCAAATGTTAATTTAAATGAATGTAACACTTGAATAGAAATTAATTAAACTAACTAATTAATTTCTCTAGAATTTAAATTAATTTCAATTGACTCCAAATAATTATATGCCTATGGTACTATCATAGTAATAACATATATCAACTCAAAAAATTAATTAAGTAAGTGGAACAATTAAATAGAAATTAATTAATTCAAAATAATTAAATCTCTAGACTCTAAAACAACTCCAAATGACTTTATACTGATACAAGTTATAGATCAAGTCATGGCCTTCAAGAATATCATGTCCTAGCTTAATTTCATGCAAGGTAGTAGAACCTATTAATTTAAAAATTAAGTATAAGACATATAAACAATTTATTATAAGCTATAAAAACAATTAAAACACTTAGATTAAAACCTAAATCACCCCCTACCTCACAAGAAGATTGTTCCTCTCGAATCCAAAGCAAACAAAGGAATTTTACAATTTCCTTCAAGGGTTATGTAGAGGAAGGTGAGGCAAGTAATTTGTGTTCCAAGCTTTTAGGTCTAAGGTGAGTGAAAGGAGATCAAAACCAAAGTTTTAAGCCTAGGTTAATGGTTTCTTTCAATGGTTTTAATGTGTAAAATGAAATAATTAAAACACTTTAGTGTATTCCTCCACTCACTTGGTCAATGGAAGTCAAACACACCTTGTCTTGCACCATCCCCTCACACACACAAAAGCTAGACTTTAATTTGGAGCCTACACTTGTCATTAATCTAATGGTTCATTTTAAGCTTAATCTAAAGCCTACACTTGTCAACAATCCAAGCCAACAAGTGCACCAATGCTAGGCCAACAAGTAAGTGAATCTCCACCCTGCACATGTCATATTCAAGGCTTCCAAATGTTAACCAATGAGATGCTTACAAGTGGCCCAATGAGAGTGCAACACTTGTCCACTTTTCGGTAATTACAAAATGGTCCTTTTTGAAAATATCTTCCAAAATAAATTGCAAAAAGTCCCTAAGAAAAAAAATAATTACTTTCTATAATTACAAAAAAACCCTAAAAACAAATATTGTTTTCGAAGAAACTATGCATTCATACCCTGTTACGTAAAAGTAAACAATTAGCATACTTTTCTAGAAAAGTAAAAATACACAAAGCATGTAATTTAAATATCATGGATGCATGCAAAAATTGGAACCAAATCTGAGCACAAAAAGTGAGATTACGCGAAGAAAATCATTCTCGGGAAAAAGACGAAAAGTGAATAGTGTCAAAAAAATAAAAATGTAGAAATGACTCAGTCCTTAAAGAAAGTTGTCAATCCAAAGAAAAGAGTCTCAGAAACCATTTCCGAGCACTGGAGATGACACTAAGTGATGAGTAACCGAACTTAGAAAAGAAAATTCAATGGAAAAAATTTATCCGTAATATTTCAGAAAAAGTAAAGGAAGGAAAATAACCGGGTCATTACAACCTATCATCCTTAAGGAAATTTCGTCCCTGAAATTAGGAACAACCTGAGGAATATCGAACAAGGATCAAACACAAGGTCACACTGAGGAAAGGATCTTAAAGAACTAAAGAACAACTCTAGAAGCCTCAAGATCCAACTGAAAGAAAGCGAAGCCACGAACCGAAAACAACTCCTCAAACAAATTGGCATGTCAACTCAATGTCAACCACCGAAAGAATCCGAAGACAACGAAATGTCGAAACATGCACTACAACAGTTTCAGCTTTTACCAGCGCTCAAAAACGCTTGTAAAAGCCTTAAAAAGCGCTGGTAATTGAATTACCAGCGCTTTACCAGCGCTTTTTTACCAGCACTTTTTCAAAAGCGCTGGTAAATCTAGTGTCGGTAGGGCTTTACCAGCGCTTCTAGAAAAGCGCTGGCATAAGGTATTTATCAGCGCTTTTTGAAAAGGCGCTGGGAAAAGCGTCACCATTTTTTTTTTTGAAGAAAAAAAGAAACCCACCAGCGCTCCTTAAGGAGCGCTGGTGATTACCATTTATTTATTTATTTTTATTTATTTTTTATTTGGTGGTGGTTTTGGTTTTGGTTTTGATTTTGGTTTTGGTTTTTTTTTCTTTACCTAAAGAAACCCATTTATAATACATGTTTATATATAAAAATAATTACCATCCAAATGTCTACCGATTAACATGCCAAATATGAAAATAACATTCAAATTACATGTCTACTAATAGATAATATTGTACTGAACACCAAGTTTTTACAAAAGAACTATACACAAAATGAAAAGAATTTTTCACAAAAGTAGTAAATACAACCACGACCCCATCTTCAAACTTTCTTTGTTCTAGCTTCAACTTCATCTTCAAACTTCTCTAAAAACACTTCTTAGAAATTGTTACCTTCTTCAGAACTGTTCGCCCTTACAATGTACACCTGGAAAGAGAAATTGAATTAATATGACATGTTTGTGCCAAACCATCTGATAGCTTCATTCAAAGATTGGTAAAACAAATATACACGAGGGACATTATTAGAAAAATTACCTCTAATCAACGGGCAGAAGTGCAATCTCAATTTCTTGGAGTGATTTTCCTTTCCTTTCCATCACATTCCTCTTCACAAAAACCACAGCTAGCAAGCAAAAGGTAGCGAAGATTGTGTAGAGAACTTGTGCCCCAAGTTGTTCCAGCAGGCACAGAAACAACAAACTGACAAAAAAATTTATTAACTGTTGAAGATGCCAATTTCTATAAGCAGGGAATAATCAGAAGTTCAAGATATTGATAAAGACATAGAATTCATCCAAACCCTAGGCATATATATAGATAGAAGCATTCCCAAAGAAAAAACTAATTGAACTTCATCTCAATGTACTATATCCTAATGAATGACTAAAACTTGAAGCCATTCCAGATATTGTTATAGGCTGAACAAAAAGGTAGGCTCATTACCTCATCAAGGCTCATTCAACATTATATGCAGTTCGTCCCTAGCCTCATCTTCAGGTTTAAGGAAGTTGTGATATTCTAGCTGAGTCATCTCCCCACCAGTCACTGGGTCAAACTGGCATCGATAGAAGCTGCATAAAGGTTCGATAGAATATAAATGTTTTGCTGAATATGTTCAAAATTCTTGTAAAAAAAAAGAAGAAGATAAAAATGCAAAAGGAAATAGAATTATGTGTGCACACTCGCATTGTCATTGAGAGAGAATATAAACAAAAAGTAGAGGAAATTATGTGCTACTTTGGCTAATCTCCTTCTCATAAGCCACATGTTACCATTCTTTCCAACTCATACAGTAGGCTAGTCTTGTTAGAACAAATAACAAATAAAAAAAATGCTGCAATTCAGCGGAAACCATTTTATATTCCGAACACACCCTAAATGCTAGTTAGTTTATTGTCATTCTACCAAAATATTACTCCTAAAGGTTAAAAAAAAAAAAAGTAACATAAACACTAAGATGCTTCTACAACACTACATGGCTATATTAAATCACGTAAAATTTGATATTCTCTTTCCTGATAAATCATCGTCAACCCAAGCTAAGAATTACTAATGTATTCTTTTGGTGACCAAATGCAATGATGTATTGAGAACCTTCAAGCAAACGAAACTTAGCCACTGACCACTCTAAGCTGAAATACTTGGGCAATACTCATGTTAATGAAACACTAAACCATCAGATCCACACTAAACCATCAAATGCAAAAATATGCAAGTTTCTGTTGGCATAAAACATAAATACTCATTGCTAGTTTTATGGTCCATCACATCCAAAGTACTGAACCTCGCTATCTATCGATCATCCCCGGACCCCAGCTATAAGTCAACTAACCATGGGAAACATATAAACACTAGTAGCATGCAGATACAATAGCAGATCAAACCTTACAAGAGAATAAGACCATATCCCTGCTCTCATTATCACTATTTGGTATAATTCCTAGTACATTTTCAAGCTGACTGCATATTTGGAGCAAAGGATATGGTTTGTAAGGTTTCACCAATTAACTGTTGAGACTTGAGGGATTCAAGACTTCCAAGTTTTTTTTTTTTTTTGTCCGGTAAGTTTCAAGACTTTCAAGTTAATCCATCAAGAAAATATACAATAATTAAAACTAATGAAAGTTAAAAGCTGTTAAGAGAATCATTTATAAAGTGACTAATTAACCATTACTACAAGAATTCAAAGCGCTCATTTTGTATTTTTTTTAATTCAAAGAGTCCTTTTTCAACATTACAGAATATATATCAAAGTATTCTTAAAATCACAGTCCCAATGATCAAATACAGGTTCACAGTGATTTCTCAATTTTTCCACAGTCTTCATTATCACAGTTTCATGCTTTACAATATTTGTAACATGGCAAAATATATATAAAATCTCACCTAACTAAAATCCCAAATTCCCATTTCAAAATAAAATTCCAAAAATCTCCAAAACATTTTAATTAACCCTTCCTTCAGAAATTTTCAAACATGAACTCATATATATATTTATATGAATGACAGGGGAAAGATGTTTACCCGAAAGATAGAGAGAAGAGCAAAGGAATGAAGAGAAAAATCCGAGAGAGAGACCAACCCGAGAACGATGAGATGACAACCGGAGATTCGCCGGAGAAGATGACCGAAAATTGCAGCGGTGGATGGCGGCGAGATGAGAATGTTATCTTCTTGGCCGAGGGTCGGCCGGAGACGAAGCCGATGGAGAAGAGATGAGATCGAGAGCAAGGGGCCAAGGTTTGGCCAGAGATCTAGCCGAAAAACCCATAGCAGAGAGCTCAAACAAAGAGAGAGGGGTTGGCTTCAGTGGTGGTGTGAGGATATGGTGTGGAGTGATAGTGGTGGCTGTAGTGCAATAGGTTAAGAACGAGAATAGAGATAGAGGCGATTGGGGAGTTGCAGAGAGAAGGAGAGGGGACAAGTTCAGAGTTGAGACCAAGAATAGAGATCTGGTGAATGAGAGGTTGAAGAGAAACCTAGGGCTCGGATGAGATAAGGTTAGAAGAAATAAATGGAAAAATAAAAAAATAAAAAAGTGAAATAATGTTAAAGCGCCAATTTTTCCTGCATTAAATTTCACACTATTAGCCCTATACCAGCGCTCCTACTAAGAGCGCTAGTGTTAGTTCACCTATACCAGCGCTTTTTAAAAGAGCGCTAGTATATTAAAAAAATAAAAAAGTGAAATAATGTTAAAGCGCCAATTTTTCCCGCATTAAATTTCACACTATTAGTCCTATACTAGCGCTCCTACTAAGAGCGTTGGTGTTAGTTCACCTATACCAGTGCTTTTTAAAAGAGCGCTGGTACGATTGCACTTATACCAGCGCTCTTTAAAAAGTACTGGTAAAACCCTAATCTGGTGTAGTGATGACAAAAGAAAAGAGTGACATGGCAGTACGAACATCGACCAAAACCCGCCCACGACTTACTCAAATGTGTGGTAGCAATGATAGTGACTAACGCCCGCCCACACTTACTTGTTAATAAGGTAGCATCGATGGCAACTAGAACCCGCCCACAACACACAACTTTGTACAGTAGCATGACAGTATAAGGCACTAGTTCATAACTTGCCCCAACCAGGTCAACTCTGAAAAATTTATCGATACGAATGACATCAATGTTGGAAAAGATCATTGCCAAAAGCGCTACAGGAACCAAGCATCTTGTGAAAGTTGGGGTAGCTAATCTCAAAACTCTAACAACAATGTCATATGCACCATTACGCTTAAGGCCTTAAATCCTCAGTGCAAGTAGAATCAGCAACTCCGACATTGCAAAACAGCCTTATCAACAACCTCCAGTCACAAATCCAAAGCCTGACAAGTCTATGCCCTCAAGCCAATGGATTGAACTCCACGGAACTGAAAGACACCGTCTTAAGCAAACCTATCCTAAGGTCACAAACGGAAACAAAATGCTGGATCAAAATCCCTATCATGGACAACTAAGTCCTTAAGGTAGAAGTCTACCACGTAGCTCACTCATGACAATCCCGACAACCAAGGTCACAAAACCCCAACATAAATACAGGAAAATGAAACAGTACAACCAGCTACTCACATAGCATATACTCACAAAATTAAATTACATAAATTAAATAATATCTTTGTACGAAGCATACAATACACATAAGGTAAATGAAACATGCCACCTATCACATAGGGGTCAAATAATCAATGACAAGCTATACACCACTAATAGCATTAGTAGGTTAAACAAATATAGTAAATGGAACACACATCATCTATATCATAACATAACTATCAGATGGTCATGTATCCTAAACATGTTTCTAAGGCATGCTCAAAATAACAAGGCATACGAACATATAAAAAATACTATGCAATTAACAATCCTACAAGTCAAAAGCAAGAAGGGATGAAATGCCTCTTAAAAGGAATCATGTAAAAACCGTACAATCGAACTTAGATGAGTCCAATCTCTCATTACGAAGAAAGGAACCATCCTCCCAATGAACACTAAGGTTCCCGAAACAAGGAGTCTATAAGTCCTTCCCAAGACTAGCCCGTACCCAAGGTGGAATCCTAACGCCACACAAAATGAAACAACGACACAATGGATAGTTCCAACACTAGCCATTACGAGACATCAATAGAGAACTCAACTCAAGATGCCAATAAGTTCGATGAGAACCGGACAGGATTCCAACGGAACCCTAAAATGACAAGGGAAAGTAATTAATTGCATCAATGCAATTAATTACACGAAACCACCCACATCCCAACCGTAGCTCGTAAGAGCTGTTTGTGGTAACACCAGAAGGATCCTAGGTCAACACACCTATCCAAATCCCAAAACCATCGCTCTAAGAAGGCAAGACACGAGAACCTCATCCTGAGGCTCACAAGGCAACTTCCCAACTCCCAAGGAAGGATTCGAGTCAATCCTGACTCATTATCCCATGACACTAGAAATAAGATCCCAATGACGTAATCACATAGAGGTCACCACAAAACCCCAAGAAACGAAACCAACACCCCGGATGCTCCCCGACCACGTTGTGAAGCCACGAAGGAAAAAGAAAATGAAATAGTGCCTCCCTGGCCCATGTCTTATTCCACCAGACAAAGACTATGGTCTCAAAACAACCAAACCAACAAGAAGGACAAAAAGGTTCCCCTCGTGGGTTCCTTACAGAATGAATTTCCCCTATCCAAGGAAGAAACTCCGCAAAACAAGAATATATCCAAGGGATATGACAAACCCCAAGAGACAATGCCCTGGCATCAATCTCAACCAAGCTGAGACAACACACAATGTCAAAACAAGACATAAAAAGTAAACAGCTAGCATACAGCATAGCAACAGGCTACCTACTCACACAAGTAATAAAAATCACATAAGGCATGTCAGTGTATACAGGAGAAGAATGTAAAGCATGATGATATGCTGTATATAATCATGCTAAGATGAGCAAGCATATATAACATGTTAAAGCAGATAAGCATAAATAACATGATAACACAGACAAGCGCGTACAATGTACTAAGGCCGACAAGCATATATAGTGTGCTAAGGTAGACAAGTACATACAACATGCTATGATAAACAAGCATATACCATATGCTAAGATAAATAAGCATAAATCATATGCTAAAGCGGTTAAGATAAGCTTCTAAGCAAGTTGCCACATAAGCAAACAGACATGTTATCAATTCAAAACATGTTATCAAGAAGCAATTAAACACATAGAGCATGGCAACACAAGTATGATATGCACTTAAAACCTATCATCCAAGGTATTTGAACCTAGGAGCTTTGATACCATCTGTGACGGCCCTGGTTTTTTAAACCAGTGCGTCTTATGATAAACCGAAGATTGACCCAATAACGGATCCAAATGCAGAAGCGAAAATAGAAAACATGACCCTGGAGATGTAATGCATCTCTAAGAAGCCAGAGTGACCTTCCATGAGGCCACAGATCTCAACGAGAACAATGCGGGAATAAATGATCAGAAAAGAAAGACCGAACATACCCCTAAGGGTAAAATAGTCTTTTCACATGGAAGCAACGTCCTTGGGAATGTACATCATTCCTAAGACACATACGTGACTTCCCATGAAGTCATGGGACTCAAAAGAAAGTAGTGGAAACAAATTAAAAGAAAACCAGACAAATTTAGCCCCAAGGGCAAAATGGTCATTTCTGAAAATATAAAATCAGGAGCTACTGAGCACACCACTAGAAAGACAGAGAAAGATTAATCAAGTTAGACCCAAGAATCACTTGATTCGGAGTCCGGATGAAGAAGATATGAAACTCCAAAGTTTCATAAAATCAAACTTATGGGTTCGAAATTAGTGTGGCAAGGGTATATTACAAGGGGTAAAATGGTCTTTTTAGACATAATTGAATGCAACCATTCACTTCGTTGGATATAAAAGCAAAAATTAATAAATTTAGACTCAAGAATCACTTGATTCGGAGACCGGATAAAGAAGATATGAAATGTCAAAGTTATAAAAAAAATCAACTTTTAGGTTTCAAATCAGTGCAGCAAGGGTATTTGGCAAAGGTTTAAAAGGTGTTTTCTGATAGAATTGGATGCAACCATGAAATCCGTTGGATAGAAAGAAAAAAAATTAATAAACTTAGACTCAAAAATCACTTGATTTGGAGTCGGAATGAAAAAGATATGAAACGTCAAAGTTTCAAAATAATAGACTTTCCAGGTTTCAAATCTGTGCAGGACTTGCACAAATTTTTGGACTTCAAATGTGGTTTTGAAGGCTTAAACTACAATTTTTTGCCAAAAAGTACTGCCCCCCCCCCCCCCCTCCCCCCAACCCAAATAATGTTTTCTACATGACCATATCAAAAGAAGATTTTATTTTTCAAGCAAAATACCCAAAATACCTTTTATATTAGACTTTTTCCTGAAACAAAAACGCGCGCAACAGCTTTTCTAGATCTGAGAGCTGTTTTCGGCATCAAAACATTTTTTTTTGTAAAAACACAAAGTAGAAACCCCACTTAAAATCATGTTTTCTATCCGGAAAAGCAAAAGAAAATGGAAAAAACACACTGTAAATTACCCAAAATGCCCCTAGATTAGAAAAGAGTAAGAGGGTTAAAAAGCTGCTACAAGCAAAACTGAACTTTGCACAGGATTTCTGGCACCAAGTCGATATTTTATGGAAAAACACGAAGAAGAAACCCCCCCTAAAATCACGTTTTCTAAGTGACCATGTTAAGACCGAAATTTATTTCTCGAAGGAAAACCTCAAAATGCCCTTAAACTGGATTATGCAAGAAAAATGTAAAATGTGTCCATAGGAGGCTCAAATCATAAAGGAAAGGGTTTTTTTTTTTTTTAAACGATCATGCACACAAATGTAACTTACTTATTAGGACGCGCTACAATAATCTACGGCGTAAAAATACCGCCAATGCAAAATATGACCCCCCGACGGCCAAAAATGGCTAACATGAACTAGAAATGGAAAATTTGAAAACCAAAATTAACAAATGATCTCAAAATACCGTTTTGCCTTTGGCCACACTTCATATATGATTAATGAGACCCTATGAAAGAATAAAAACAGGATTCCCACACCCGATGCAAACATGGTGAAGTAATGACTTGGCATTTTTCAATATTTTCAAAATAAACCTTGAAAGTGAAAATGCATAGAATACAAATTTAATGTCATTGGCCTATGGCCTCATCTCATACATATTAAATACATTATAAAGAGTGTACTTATATACACATTACTTATTTATAAGCAAATATACACATTTCAACATATAAGCCTACAAGTGGCTTTTCAAGCCAACCTTCACAAGAATTGAAACTTCCGAGTTTATAAATCATCCAAGGAATGACGAGCATCACAAACCAAACCTTCGTACCTAAAACAAATCCCCAATAACTTTAGGGTGAGTAACATAAAGCTACTCTTAGGAGATGAGTTGGCATAGAACTAACATTTTACAAATTTATTACCTTAAGGTGAAATATGTTAAAGCGGCTCATGCCACTTAATGTCTATGTCAAAGTGAGACTCAGGGAGCATCCTAAGTTACTTTAGAGTATTTCTAGCAAAAACCACATCATCCATGCAATTTGGGCAACATAGAAGCATGCGATACACACAACAAGATATTCAATATGCAAGTATACGTACAC